ATAAAGGGAATAGGCCGAAAAGAAAATTAATGAATGAATATAACATATACAATTATTATATAGATTATTGTATTGTGGGTTAGTTTAATAAAATAATTTAATGTGTGTGTTGAATAGGTGGTGCTTTTGTTGAAACCTCTTCCTGGTCGGTCGCAAATCTTTTTAAATAAATGCATTAAAGGGCAGCGCTTATCTTAGCCTTATCCTGGAGTTTGTTCACCCTCCACCTATGTTAGTCGCCTTAACAATGTTTTTGTTTAGAACAAACCACTTTTGTCCAATGACTTGCTTAACTAACGCAGTTAACTTAATTAAACTGCCTCCCAATTGCACTTAAAGCTAAATACTAGTATCTTGCAGAGAAAGTGGTAATACATTATTTACTGTCATCATAGCGAAGATGAAAAAAATTAATTAATTATTAAACGGTTTAAAGTGTTGAAATAAATCTTGTTTCTGTTAAACAGTACTTTGGAAAATTTTCAAAAAGAAAAAAAAATTCAAAGGAGGGCTCTTAATCTTGTTTTCAACTGTAAAAGGCAACACAATCCTGAGTGTTGGAAGTAAAGGCACCAGAGTTTTGTTTTTTTCTCTCCCACAAACATCCCATCGGTTGCATTGTCGTTAAAGTGCAAATTAAGCACTTGTGTGAATGAAACAGATCTTTTGTCTTCGTCAAACAGGATCATTTGCTAAAGCAACTTGAACATGTATCAACTCCCTCATGCAGAACAGTTAGTGGTTTTCCTCTGGAAATCATCAAAACGCCTCACAGCTTAACGTTGCCTTTGACCAAAAAAAACTGTACAATTCCTCCAGCCTTGGTGTCGACTATTATTAAAGCCCTGACATATAAACACAAGATCACGATGCTTTTCTCTGGCGCTACAATGTGGTTCCGCAAGAATGGCTGACTGTCATTCATGAAATGTCCTCGCTCCTTTAAACGGACCGCAGCTGAAAACCACAACCACCCCAAAGAACAGAGAAGAAAACTCTTCAGCATGAATGTGTGTCCTGGAGAAAACAGCTTGTTTTGACACTACAAAGAGGATATTATGAAGCATGAACACTGAAGGAAACATCTGTCGTGAGCAGAGACTGTTCAGAGCTGGTGGAAACATCTCAGGCTGTTGAAAGCAGAATCGCTAAGTGAAACGTTATGTGGAGTAAACCATTTCCAATCCCGCTCTTCTTCAAAGTCTTAGTGCATTGGCCTTTGAGAATGAGCGATTTGATGCTCATTTTAGTGTCTCGATCACTTTACAAAGGCGTAAGGGAGATGTTCTGGTCTTCAGACCACTGATACTCCTTGCGTTGGGGCGGTCAGAGCAGTGATGATGTCTGGTCGCTCGATGCGAGTCAGAGCTGAACACAACAAACCCAATGTGGAGCCTTCCTGCTGGGACCAATCGGTCATGAGGGTGTGGATGGGGTCCTGGCCCCGTCCAAAGACGTCCACGCGCTCCTGTTCGTAGCCTAGTGTAGCGGCTAGCTGTTTCCAGCTTCGATTGCCCCCCTCAGCCAGAAGTCCCTCTACCTCCTCCTGTCTGTGCGGAGGCAGGTTTATGTAGAGCCGTGTATCCTGTTTGCTGTCCCGTTTACTGCCTGCACAGACAACCAGGAGGACTAATCATTACTGCCCACACCAAATCTGCCAGTGCAGACTTCCACATATTCTTTAGACCAACCTGTTCCTGAAGGCACACCAACAGTACACATTTTAACCTCTTCCTATTCAAACACACCTGAATCAAATCATCAGAACACTAGAAGGTACTTCAAAACCTGAAATGAATGGTTTAGATAAAGGAGACATCCAAAATATGTACTGTTGGTGTGCCTCCAGGAACAGGGTTGGGAAACACTGATCATTAAATCTGTTTATTTTCTTATGTAAATGTGTGTAAATATATTTTTTTGTTTTCATATTAATTTTAAGAATATTATTAACTAATTAACAATACCTTTGCTAGGCTGGCTTTCCTGAAGGCTGTGAGAGTCCAGGAAAACACCACTGTCGCTGTGCAGTTTCTCTCCTTCCCCTGCATTATTCAGCTCTCCGACCCGGGCCTTCACCAGAGCCTGCTTCTGCTGACATGATTTCCAGCTGGACACACACACACAGCAGTTCACACATTTATCATCAAGTAAAAGCACAACAGTTATACTTTCCTACTCAGACATTGTGTATATACATTTACAGGCCATTTTATTAGGTACATCTTACTAGTACTGAGTTAGACTCCTTTTTGCATTTTAGGTACTGGACATGTTCCTCAAGAGATTTTGAGCTATATTGACATGATAGCATCATGCAGTTGCTGCAGATTTGTTGGCTGCACATCCATGATGTGAATCTCCCTTTCCACCACTTCCTAAAGGTGTTCTATTGGAGTTAGATCTGGTGACTGTGCAGGCCATTTGAGTACAGTGAACTCATAGCCATGTTCAAGGAACCAGTCTGAGATTATTCACACTTTATGACATGGCTTATTATCTTGCTGGAAGTAGCCATCAGAAGATGGGTACGCTGCAGTCATAAAAGGATGGACATGGTCAGCAACAATACTCAGGTAGGTTGTGACGTTGACATGATACTAATGGGCCCAAAATGTGCCTAGAAAAATTACCCACACCATTACACCATCATCACCAGCTTGAACCGTTGATCCAAGGCAGGATGGATCGATGCTTTCATGTTGTTGACGCCAATTTCTGACTCTACCATCCAAATGTTGCAGCAGAAGTCAAAACTCAGCAGACCAGGCAACGTTTTTTCCCAATCTTCTATTGTCCAATTTTGGTGAGCCTGTGCGAATTGGTTGTGCATGAAAATCCCAGTAGATCAGCAGTTTCTAAAATACTTAGACCAGCGGGTCTGGCACCACCAAACATGCCACGTTCAAAGTCACTTAAATCACCTTTCTTCTCCATTCTGATGCTCAGTTTGAACTGCAGCAGATCATCTTGACCATGTCTACATGCCTAAATGCATTGAGTTGCTGCCAAGTGATTGGCTGATAAGAAATTTGTGTTAAAGAGTTGGACAGGTGTACCTAATCAAGTTGCCGGGGAGTGTATATATAAGTTGTAATATATATATTAAGGGGGGAACTGTGATTAAAACAGACCGGAATTACTTGTGCATTAAATCATTTTCAAGAGTTCACACTTAGATATGTTTGACAAATTTTAGCAGGGTTTAGCATGCTGTCCCCGGAGAGAACCCTAAGCTCGGAGATAATTGAGCCCAGGGCTCCCCCCTGGTCGATTGAGCAAGTAAGGGGAGTCAAGATTAGGTAGTTCTCGAGAGCTTCTCGTGGTAAATGAAAGAAGGGGGAGAAGGTGGTGAATGGGGGGTTTCTTGGGAATACGTAATTTTTACTAGGATAGTGAGTTTGGATTAATCTGATTGGCTAACTAATGATTGTAGATGAGAGACCAGCTGCAATTTCAAAATTAAGCAGCGGTCACACTTGAATTTTACCCCCATAGCCTTCCATGCGTTAAGTTTCGCAGTTTGCTGCGGTGCAAAGTTCAAGCTTGGTGAGCTCTGACCTGCAAATTCGCATCACTTGACTGCATGTGACCAATCGAGGATCAAAACATGACCTCTCTGGACTGAAATTTAAAACATGGAGCAATCGCTCTATTTTTTTATTTCTAATCATCTTATTTAATCCCGCCCCTTTTCACAGCGATGTACGACACACACAATTTCGCACACAAACTCTAGTTTGACCGCAGCTTTAGTTTGTAAAACTTAACTTATTGCACAACTTACAGCCAATCAGAATCAAGAATTTCAGCAGGCCATGGAATAAACCATTACAATCAATAACAACCATTTAGCATAATTATTTTGCTGTCTGAGCTCACCATTTGTAGGCAACGTAGAGCAGCAGGCCAAGCACCACAGCAGCCAAAACAGACACATACACCAAGATGTTGTTGTTTCCACCTTGGTCCTGTGGTGTGAGTCTAGGGGCTCCAGAGCCTGGTGCTGGGCTGATCCCACTTTCTGTTTCCTCATTCGGTGTCTGCAATCGAGGAGTTTCACGAGGACCATCAGAGCCAGAGGGCCGGGACAGGATGTTGAGGTCTTTTACTACAATAAAATATTTAGAGAAACTTGTCATTTGGGACTGCATTTATATATTGAAACAGACACACATCATTTCCTATTATATACACATTCAAACTAGGCTGCACAATATATCATTTCAACATAGATATTGCAACGTGTGCATGCGCAGTAGTCGCATTGTCGTACATTTAATTCTGCCCACTGCGTTGAATTATGTTATGTTGCTCTGCAATAGAGTGGAGGAACTATAACATCAATTTGATTGCAAAAACCTGGAAGCGAGTTAGCATTTTAGCAGTTCCAGGTTCCTTTTTCCAAGTCAATGGGTAATTTGAATGGGATTTGGGTTAAATCGCTTAAATAAGGTTAGTGGCTGACACAAACTCAAGATAATTTCACATTTTATTCTAAGACATAAAACACATCAGTAACATCACACTCTTGATTTTTTTATTTTTTTTTAAATCGGTTACGCTTTTTTAAAAAGGTTGTCTGATATCAAGTTGCTAAATGGGACTGCAGGCGGAGTCAGAGACATTATATGTCATCCGAGTTGAACTGGTCTGGAGCGAAACCCACTTGCGTTGGGCATTTGGATTTGGCTGTATTTAAATATTTTCATGAACAGTATTTTATAGGTTGTTGTAATTTTTCTAATTGGACATTTATATTGTGTAGATAATCCCTTCACTTGTAAAGATCATCAAGATTCATTTGTCGATTCTTGGAAATACTACTTACCAGTGCAGCCTCTTTCCTGCTCTCAGTAATGCAAACATGTGAATAAATTTGTGTCATTTTAATGTGATCAATTGATTTTTCGTTGTTTTTTCTTCATCTGAACACATTTAATTCTGTCATAACTACAGTATTTACACTCCTCTATAAAATGTATAGCAGATGTGACTGTATTGGGCTGCTTTTTGCTGTACTTTGTGACAAAAAAGAATATTGAATGTTGTTCTGTGTCCATAATGGAACTTGCGGGCATATAGACTTGTCCCTCAAGCCTCATTCCTATCTTAAGCGGTAAGCGGGCTAAATGCACTTATACACTTATTTAAATATGTACTATGTAGGCACATTTATACATACAGATTTAAAACTTTTAAAACAACTGTGCAGAAAAATAAAATGTATTTCCCACGTAAAAACTACACAAAAGGCACGTAGGTCTGTGCTTTTGGGAATTTATTAATTTATAATAGCGTGGATTGTAATAGTGTAAACGAAGCTTGAAAAGTTGTCTGTAGCAGGATGGTGCTGACGTCACAGGTGAGCACCCCGAGGGCACTGTAGTCCATTTATAGCCTAATGTTCGCTTTTCAGTTCTTGTGCTTGCATTTAAGATCCAAAAGTGCTAAGAGTTGTATTTTCGTGTGAGGATTATCCGGTTGGACAAAACATGTAAGTGTAATAAACTGTCTATGGGGAATTTAACGAGGGAACCAGTTTTATGCTAGCAGCTGATTAGCCTACAAGGTGACTTCATAGTTCTCCCCCTCTATAATACTTCCGAAACGCTAGCTGGCAGAGTTTTTTCGCTGGTGTTTTGTTTTTTTCTGAACGCTACCTTAATGTACAAGTGGCTCAAACTCTCTCACTTTGAGGTGGGAACCGGCAGACGTGCAACAACATTAATCATAAGGTAAACACAAAATAAAACTTTCCATCTGGAGCTCCTTCACAGGACTCGACACTTGTAAACACTCGCTCCAAAGGGTCCGCATGGCTCTCGGTCCCACCCACACTCGCAACGCGCAGGCTGCTCCAGACCAGAGTATACACGTGCGCTTGATGCAGAAGTATAAATCAGCCTTTAGACTCCCCAGAAAACCGTGGATTAGAGCTATTAAAAACTATAAAACTGCTCTGAAACTATATTTATATTCCAATAGTTATCACAGAAAAATAAAACTATTGAAAAAAAAAATTTTAAATCAATATTGTGCAGTCCTAATTCAAAAATTTGTGGTCAGGATAAAAAAAGATGAATGGCAATGTTTAGAATGCATTAAATTAATATAAAATTTGAAGTTTATGAAGACACTTCTTGCCACATTTTCAGTTTTTCACAGAAATAACATTAATCTTGTTTTGAATCTGCCACTATGCTGACACATAGGCTTTTGTAGCTCCACCCTCTTTTCAAAAGAGTACAATTCCTTTTGAATTTAGACAGAGACCAAAGAGACAGTCACCAAAACAGCACAATTTGAACATTTACTCATTATACTCATTAGACTCACATTGATTTTAGCTACATATCTCAAGGGCACCCTAGAGCATTGAAACACCTCAATGGCTAATACACACACAGATGCGCTTTTTAGCCTTGGCATGAAAGCCACATCTGACACACATCTGCTGTGAGGCTGATTAACACATCATCAGTGGACACAGACGCAGCCCGACAGGCCAAATACCAGATCCAAATGTTGAGGGGTGTGGAATGGTCAGAAGGACTCTTGCCCCACACCCTCTGTCCTGAAATAGATGGCGCAGGCCTCACACAGATGCATGCGCTCGGAGGCGGCCTGTGTGGATCAAACACTGCTCTGACCTCGACAGGTCGACTGGTCTGACTGGTGACGCCACCCTGCAGGGAACAGTGGGCGATGTGGGATGCAAACCACTAACCAGCTGGTTAACCTCTAAACCCACTTAAAGGGATCGTTCACCCAAAAATGAAAACTCTTGTCATGTTTTCTCACCCTCCTTTTTTTCAAACCTTGATGAGTTTATGTCTTCTGTGAAAAACTAAAGAAGATATTTTGAAAAATGTTGAAAGCATGTAACTATAGTACGTAAATGGTTTTAGTCTTTTGTGTTCACAATATAGAAACTTAAAAAGATTTGGAAGCACTTAAGGGTGAGTGAATAGTGAATAAATTTCCATTTGTTTAGTTGAACTATGTGGCGTCACTGTGTTGCAGTGGGTAGCACAATTGCCTCACATTAATAAGTCACTGGTTCAAGCCTGGTTCAGTTGGCATTTCTATGTGGAGTTTGCATGTTCTCCCTGTGTTCGTGTGGGTTTCCTCCAGAAAGTTTGCGGTTCATTTCGCTGTGGCGACCCCAGATTAATAAAGGGACTAAGCCGAATAGAAAATGACTGAATGGTAGAACTATCCCTTCAACATGTAAACCCCTGTAAATGCAGAGCTTTTTAAATGACAGTTTATCCACCTTCATCTGCACATGACTACTGCATTTCAAAGTTTTAGGATTGACCTTTTATTTTCAAAAGAATGGAAACAAATCATATTAAATAATAAGGTTGCCCTTTTTAATGTTTAGGCCAAATCTCAAAATGGCTTTGTTATGATGTGATTTTCTCAAGCACAGTTCAATAAATTACAACTATTATAAAAGAAAAAGAAAATCATTATTAAATACCACAGGCCTAATGTTACAAGTGGCTATTTTAGTCAATAGTTTAGTTTTGTTCTCCATATAACAAAGAAACTTTGTTAAAATGTCTTAGGAACATAACACATTTTGTCACTGAAACAATGTCCACCATGGTGTGACGCCATATGCTAATTTTCATTTATTTTCTTTTCGGCTCAGTCCCTTTATTAATCACAGCGGAATGAACCACCAGCTTATCCAGTCTAAGTTTTACACAGCAGCTGCCCTTCCAGCTGCAATACAGTTCTGGGAAACACCCATACACACTCATACACTATGGGCAATTTAATTTAGGCCGTACTCACACTAGGTACAGTTGCCTCGAACCCAGCCAAAGCACGCTTGCCCCCCCTCCTGTCTCCCCCGATGGCCCGCACTCACACCACAAACGGGCCTCGGCACGCTTACGTCATCGCTGCTGCGCTGTTTAGTGAGAAACGCTCTCACTCAGCAGCACAGAGGAGATTTCTCTAGTTATATCGTTTCAGTCGTTTGATTTGCAGTCAAATATTTCGCCAAACAGTCCTTAGGGATGCGGTGACACGCAGTCAGATATTTTGCCGAATAGATCCGCCACTTTTGACGCTCATAAACAATCATAAAGCCCTCGTGCTGCAGGAATGAGGAGGTTTGCTGAAAGTGCGCAGCTGTCGTGCAGTGAGGTGTTTGCATCTTTAATAATCTACAGGCACGGTACGAATGGCATAGTGCGAGTAGTCCCTTATTCAATTTACTTACACTGCATGTATTTGGACTTGTGGGGAAACTGAAGCACCTGGAGGAAACTCATGCAAACACAGGGAGAACATGCAAACTCCACACAGAAATGCAAACTGACCCAGCTGGGACTTGAACCAGCGACCTTCTTGCTGTGAGGTGACAGTGCGAACCACTAAGCCACTGTGTTGCCCATTTATACTAATTTTATACCTGTCAATTCCCCTGAAAACTTTAATTAGTCGAAGGACCCCATTCAACATTATGTGACTGAAGCTGTTGTTGTAGTTGTTTTGTCTACAAATATATTTTTTCTTTACATATTTAGCTCTTTTGGTACTCGTAATATTATGAAAACAGTCTGAGAGCAATTTATCTTCATTCTTGGACGCTTATCTTTATATAGTGCTGTTTATTTTATTTGTTATGAATTGGGGTTGTGTTAGACAGCAGGCCAGAGTCACGGTGGCTGGCCAGATTGCCATCAGGCCCTGTGCTCCCTATGGCCAGTCCGTCCCTGTCCATAATGCAGAAAAAAATAAGTTGCTACTTTAAGAAGGGTATAAAAATGAAACATTTATTTGTTTAAAGGTCAAAGAAAAACTACTAGTGTTTATCTTCTTAATCCGATCATGTCTGGGCTGTTGCTTATTGCTCATTGAAGAAAGAGAAGGACATTTGAAGTTTTTTTTCACACACTTCTCTCTGACTGAACACAGGTGTCTGCCACATGTGAACAATCTAACCATACACACACACACACACACACACTCATGCAAACGCAAATGTTATTATATATAGCTTGGCACAATCTTGATCCAAGTCACACATGGATCTCGGGTTACGTTCACACAGTTTCTGTTTACTAGCAGGTGTGTCCAATCAGTGACAGATGAAGTGCCCTAGATCCAGAAAAGGAAATTTCTTATAATAATCTAGTTTAAAAAACATCTGCCAATCAAACAAAAATTATTCAGGCTTTATGTTAATGGTTTTGTGAAGTTAAAAGAACATATATAATGAAAAAGATGAATACAATTAGTGAGTAAAAAATAGACATAAAAAATAGATGGTAGAATTATAATTTTCAGCAGGCCTGTCACAATATCTATTTTTGTTGTATGATAAATTGCATCAAAATATAATGCAATATACTATATTATTGCCATTTTAAGACCCTTTTATGCCACTCGTTATATAATGCCAGAATGACCAGATAATATCATCATGATGCAAGTACATTCTTCCACAGAACACATTATATTTTATTCTTAAGATTATTTAATTATAGTCATTTATAGTCAATTATAGTAACTTAATTATAGTCATTTGAATAATTGAATAATTAGGCATTGGACCCAGAATGTGAAAACTCAGTAATTAAACATAAATGTTAACAGAAAAGTGCAAGGTAATAAGTAACAGATACCAGATCTATTTTTAGCTGTCAGACACCAACATGAAAATATACTATTTAGTTATCATAGTAATTTATAGTAAATACTATAGTGTTTTTTCAACCATACTGACACTGAAACCTCCAATAGAGATCAGCTAAATCAGCTAAAATGTAACTAGAATTGGTTTTTATGTATGGGCGATATATATTGCATCACTAAAAATGATTAAGGTCCATGTCCATGTGTTGTGCGATAAGTCGATATATTGATTATTGTGACAGGCCTAATTTTCAGAAACACTTTTAATTTTTTTTCAGCAATAATACACTTGTTTCAAATAAACTAAGCACTTTACAAATATCATTACAATGTCATTATGTTATCAGGGGGGTTGTATGTGTGTGAGATTATGTCTACTTAAAATCTAAATCACAAATCAAATGAGAATAAAATATCGATAATATCACTGCTTATATTTCACGGCTTTATCTGATAATAGTAGAAATATTAAAACATAATGTGGCTCAGTGGTTAGTAGTGTTGCCTCACAGCAAGAAGGTTGGTGGTTCGAGCCCCAGCTGGGCAGTTGGCATTTCTGTGTGGAGTTTGCAAGTTCTTTCTGTGTTCGCATGGTTTTCCTAAGGGTGCTCCGGTTTCCCCCACATTCCAAAGACATGTGCGATAGGTGAATTAAATAAGCTAAATTGGCCGTAGTGTATGTGCATAAATGTAAGAGAGTATGGGTGTTTCCCAGTGCTGGGTTGCAGCCAGAAGGGCATCCTGTGTGTAAAACATATGCTGAATAAATTGCCGTTCATTCCGCTGATAAATAAAGAGACTAAGCTAAAGGAAAATGAATAAATGAATGAAAAGAAATAAAAATAGAAATAATGAAAAGTCATGTCATATTCTTTTCAAGATCAACATCTTTTAATAAGTTTTCTTTTGTCTTTATTATAATATTATATCATTTAATTTAATGATTTTTCAAAATTTTATCTTTTGTGATTTAATAATCACAATAAACCATGTGATGATTAATTATGTGTGTGCTACGCTTTCACTCACCTATTAGATTTCCCATAAGCACCCAGTGGGCTATACTATAACATAAGCTGGCACTTACCCATGCAGACGGTGTCGGAGTCAGGCAGGCAGGGTCTGATCTCCACCTCTTCATCTTGACAGCGTGAGCAGGGCACGCAGGGCTTCCTGTCGCTCGTGTCCTTAGAGTAGGTCCCTGGTTTACATAGCTCACATTTGGTGTCTCCCAGTAGTCCACAGGCCTGGGACACTCCCCATCCTGGCCCACACTTCCTGCAGGGCGCACACAGCCCACCTGTGCTGTTCCCATCCCGCCACAGGAAGAAATGCTCGCCGCAGTCGCACCGGGTATCCTGTGTTTTGGTGCAGCGTGCCAGCTGAGGAATACCGATGGGGCAATGGGCACATAGCGTACAGGATAAAAGACTCTCAGAGTCTGAAAACGACACACCTAGAAGAGAATTAAAGTTATTATCATTATTAAAAACAGCAATTCATTAGCAAAGCTTTCTCTCATCTTCTTTTCGAAAGATTCTTCTGGAAATATGACAAGATGCAAGTTTTTTGGCCTGATTTTCAAGCAATTTCATTGTTTTTTTCCTTTCAGTTCACCATTATGACATCCTCAACATCTTTATGAATGGCCATAACTGCTGGGCTGTATATTGAGTTTGTAAGATTGATAAAAAAAAAAAAATTAAATAAAAAACTATTTATGATAACACTTAAGTATAGGAACTGATTCTCATAATTAACTAGTGGCTTATTACCTGCAAATTATCAGGATATTAGATGTATTTGTACTTAAAAGTAAATATTCTGCATGATCTTATTCCGCATACCTAATACTACCAACACCTACACTGTTAGACCTTACCAGGTTTTTTTTTACAGTAGAATACTGGCAACACTGTTGCCAGCTACTCACTGTAAAAGTTTGGTTACAGTAAGTAACTGGCAACAAATTCATTGAGTCTCTGCAAAAATGTATGTACGTGCTGTTTAAGATATTTTTTAAATAACACATTTTTACTAGTTATTTAGCAAAATACTAATATTCAGCTTAAAGTGCAATTTAAAAGCTTAACTATAGGCTAAACTAGGCAAATTAGATTAATTATAGAAAAGTAAACAAAGTTGTAAAAATGATTGTGATAATTTGGTTGCTCTGTGTAAATATTTTTGCCTTTAAATGAATCTCGTCGATATCTTTACCTTTTAATTAGGTCTGTGACATTGACATTGGTTGAATCCTGATACTCAATGTTAAAAACAAAAAAGGAACCAAAGAAAACACAGAGATGGCTGCAGAGAAATTTAGCTTATCATCAATTTTCTCCTCCTCAATACTGACCATACACATACCAAAACTGAACAGTATATATATATATATATATATATATATTGCTATATATATATATATATATATATATATAGCAACATAAAGCATTAGAGTAGATGGTTGAGCAGTAATTTACCATTTATTATCACAGTAACTATCAGTAATGGGTACATAAAGTAAATTATTGTAATTTATTCTTTGCACTACAAAATTTCATACAAATCCTGCTCCTTTTACAGTAAAATACTGTTTCCTTTTATTACAGAAAAACACTGGCTATTTTACAGTTATTTACTGCATAATCTACAGTATGGGTTAACACCTAAACTCAACTACTATTTTATTAACTATTAATAAGTAGCAAATAAGTATGTCTTATGGTTTGTTCATTTCCAGAACTCGTCACCTTGAAATAATAAGGTTCTATCTGTGTTCTGAATGATTTTGGGATATTGAGCTTCAAAGTTTTTGCATTCCATATAGCAAAAATTATGTGTGTAATATTTGCTTTTTAAATAAAAAGTCTTAAAATGTAAACAATTTATTAAAAAAAAAAAACATCCCATAATGTAAATAAGTTGTCATTTATAAGAATATGTCAACTCAATTTTGACAAAAATGTCAGATAGAACCTTATAATTCTAAGGTGACGAACTGTACCTTAATATAAAGAGTGAATATATAATGAGGCAATACTCTTTATATAGAAAAGCAGTAGTTTAATACAAGCACATAAAAAATAGTGTAAGACACAGAGTTGGAAAAGCTGTAGGAAAAGTGCTAAATCCAATCTGTCCTAAATTTGATTTAAGGCTTTAAGATAAATAATGGTTACAATTCATATTAAGTTACAATTCTCACTTATAAATCATTAACTGTGAGGTTTAGCTCAATAAACTACTAATTTGTTGTTTATTGTTTGCTAATGTAGTAGTTGGGATAGACATTGAGTAGGGATGTAGTGATTAGAAATGAATAATAAGAATATAAAGAATATGTGCTTTATAAGTGCCAATACCTTAATATCTCAGCCAATAATAGGAAGGTGATAAGCCACTAGTTAAAAGCGAGAGTTGGTACTTAAACTAAAGTGTTGCCATATTAAGAAGTACAGGTTTTTGCACTGTTACTTGCACTGTTTAATGTGTTTGAGGTAACATGGTGTGTAACCCAGGGTTCATACACATTTTTACTACTAAACTAACATGACTTTTCCATGATTTATTCAAGACTTTCATGTAAATTTTCATGACCTAATGTTTCAAGCAATGTCTACATATGTGTGTTAAAAGAAAAACAATGCATGTTCAAATTTATTACAGCATATCACAAAACAAGCAGCAATCTATTTAGTTTTAATTTACATTTATATCTGAAATTTTTTTTTTATAATGCTTACACAGCTCTAATAATCTGAGAGTATGGGATTGGCCAAGGACAGAATATAAGTCAAGACAACTAACCCAAGGTTTCCGCTACATTCATTCTTCCATGGCGGGGCGCCACACCAAAATTTATCCCGCTACGGCTACATTAACCCTTCCTCTTCAAAACATTCAGTCATTTTTTATAAAATAGCAGGTTATCATCGCACCGAAATGTATTAATAGGTAAGTGAATTATAATAGCACAAACACGACAGAGCTTTTAGTTAAAATGAACACAGTTTCCATAATTGTACTTTATAGATAAAGGTCTATAGCTCTGCATACAATGACTTTATCTTGCTGGATTTTATCGCCGTTTCACTTTACTTCAGGACACATAAATACCGCTCTGTAGGTCTATTGGAGACATTCATAAATATTCCTAGCAAATCTACTCAATGCTGGAGACATACTCGCTACATAAACGCACTAAATCACACTTCAGCAAGGTTTATTTGAGAGCACACAAGACAATCTGCACTTGAGCAGTGTGTATTTTAGGGCATGCAAGAAGTTTTTTGGACAAACAGAGGAAATCAGCAAGCAAGCAAAAAGATTCACATGCTTGTATTACATAAATGCGATCTTGACTTGTAATACTGCGCTCACAACATTTGTCATTAAAATAACGCCACAGGTTGGTAGATGTGTGCAAAAGGCCTGCTGCCAAAGCTGGAAAAAATCCTAGAGGAAACACTGTAACTTATATTCAAAAATACGGATATTTGTTTTTCAAGACATTTCCAAAACTTGTGGGTTTTTCTGTTTTTCCAAAACTTTTCAAGGCCTGGAAAATGCCATGTCAAAATGCTGTGACTTTTCCAGGTTTTCATGACCGTATAAACCCTGGTAACCTAAATTCCACGGGTATATTCACCACAAGTAAATGTAATATTTTAAAAATATTAAATAAAACTTTCATTAAACTTCATACTAACTATAAAATGTCTGCTGTAATAGGACAAGCAGTCTGATGAATTTAACTTCTGCTTCAAAATGCATTATTATAATTTTTTTTCAAGATCTTTATGCATAATGTGTAGCATATCCATGATTCCATTTACTATATTTGATTTGTTGTCTTTAATTTTGTTTCATTTGATGACACCTATCAGGATGTCAAGATATAAAACTAATAAAAATAGAATTTTCACCATTCATATATCTCAACTCAGCCCAAAAATACAGAAATGTACTTTTTTTTTGGCCATCGCTCAGCCCTAGTTCTTTCTGCTAATTCTCTCTACAGATTCTGCAATCTTGTTTAAATTACCATCAATTATCTCTTGCATTCCCATAAAACTGTTATCCATTTTGTATGTGAAACTATGCTGTTGCATCAGACCAATTATGTCTCGTAACTTCTTTAATTTATTATCATCTGCTTTCTTCATGTGTTTGACAAATATCTTACACTAAAAACATTCATAGCATTCAGTTCCTCACTGAAATGTAAAGTTTATATGTTTTGAAGACACTCACCATCTTGGCATGGCTGACACTTAGTGTCTTCCTGGCCACAGCTGGTGACTAAACCAGTGCCCGCCGCACACATGCTGCAACATTCACCTGTTTTTGTGAACTGCTCACTGGTGCACGTCTTGCCAAAGGCCATCTGCAAAAACAAATTTACATTAATCAGGGCAATTTGTACAATAATTCAGTTACTCAACTAGCATTCAAACTGACTTCTGATAGTTTTTGATCCCTCTCAGATTCAACATGACCTACTGAGGAGTCAATCAAGATCAACCTACTTTACCAAAGCAGTGAAATTCGAGCATGTCAAAAATTGTAAAATGTTTTAGTTTATGCCGACATGGACAAATTGACTGTGTTTAGGCAGTAGTATTTATAAAAGAAGATATTTCATATGTCATCATGACATCCTTCATAAATATGCATATACCAATTGTTTGTTGTGCTTATTAATGAATTAACATGATCAAACTCTGTATGTTGTCATGATCAACTAACCCATTTCATTTAGCATCATTTGGCCCTGACAGTAATATTCATTCCATATTCCAGAGACATGAAAATACATTTTATCATAACTTTTATACATCACTGATTACAAATAGTTATTATTTAGATTATGTTAAAAAAGCATCCTGTTGAAGTTTACATCCAAGAACAAAACGTGAAATTAAAAAACACAACCTTACATTTAGAACAATTGACATGAAAAAAATGGACACTATGTTCAGTCATAAAAAACACACAGAGACTTGTTTCTTGAACCCTAGTAGGGATTCTCAGACATGATGTTATACAAAACCCTATATTTAATCCTACCCCAACCCTCACAGTAAAACATCAGCATTTTCACATTTTCAAAATACATCATTTTGTAAGAGTTAAATGCATGTTTACACTTGGCAAACTCACTTTTGGTCCACATGATATGGTCCCCACGCTCCCACATATTGTGTTACCAGTAAAGCAGCCTTGCATTTAGAGTGAAAGATATTTCAAGTCGTATCAGTGAGATTTTCAGTTTTCTAATTTGCCATTCAAAAAAGGTGAGTTAAGGATAAACATAACAACCTCACTCCAGGACAGCATCTCATAATATCATTTGCACAGAGATTAAGTTTAGGCGCTTAAATTGCACAGGGTTCCCTATGAGAGAGCCAGAAAGTTTTTAAGCAGCCCTTATGACTTTAACACTCCAATTTGAGTGTAAATAGAGAGTGATTGTAACAACACGTCCATTTGCATATCTATAACAACACTAAAAAGCAAGAGAGGCAGAGCGTCACTACAGGATGTGTAAAGACCCCTCTCTGAAGGAAATGCAACATTTTGTGTATTAGCGCCCATTACAAAGCATCATCAGCGATGGGACATCGAGGCAGCTTGAGACCTCAGGGGAGGGTGTGATGTGTGTGTGATGTGTGTTTGGGTAAAAGAGAAGACTTTGATGTCCCCCCAGCTCCGCAGGTGTGATATAGGAGGTCAGTTCTGCGGCATCTTAACCATGCATATTTTTAGGAAAATTACCCCTCACACACCCCCGGCGCTTCACAACTGCCCCCTGGGGCTCTGACAAGAGCCAGCAGATGCCTAACATGTAAAGCTCCTCTAAAGAGGGAAAGCAAAACCCACGCAGCTTCTCTGATGTCTCTCTCTTCTCTCTGATCTCTGTTGGGACAAGCGAACGTGTGTAAACCTGTTGAACGAGCGCACGCTCATAATCTAAGAGAAACACTGATACACATTTGTACGCAGCTGCCCACAGGGCAACAACAGTCACTTAGGGAGGAAAAGGGGCAGCTTTGTTTAACATTTCAGCTGCACTGGACTGTCAATGAACAGAGTATAAAAATATGTTAAATTAATCAGCTATTGATAAAAAGTTATAAAATTTCAGTGTTTAAAGTAAAAACAGCATTGTTTTTTAGCCACAAATTTGAATGCTGGTAATTATAGTAACAATAAAATTATATATATATTATATACAGATTAATAAGTCTTTGAAAAGAAATATCTGTAATTTGTAATACAATGTAATGTTTTTAATATATGAAGAGTCAAATGCAAAAACCTCTAAGCACCATTTTAAATTTTCTTCTAGAATAAGCACTTTTCTTAACCTTTATTGTTTTTGTTCAGTTATTTCACATTAAAGGCAATGAAAATAATCAATCGCCATTAAATTAAAAACCTACACACAAGAGTCTGAAAAAAGGGATTATTCTAGAAAATAAATTAGAGGTTTTTGCATTTGAACTCTTCATATATATATATATATATATATATATATATATATAAAACATTACATTTAATTATAAATTACAGATATTTTTTCCAAAGACTTATTTATCTGTATATGAGCAATTCCAGACTTATGGATGAGACATTTGCAGTAAAGCCTCAAAACATAAATTCACATAGAAAATATATGTTTACATTATATTGAAGCAACTGTTTATAATTTCCAGAACAACTGACCACAGAGTTAAAGGACCAGAAAAATATCAATCTGTAAACATGCTTTGTACTTAAAATTAGGAAAATAAGCATGCCTTATTGATGTGACAAGAAAGTCTGCAGGTTTACAGAATACAATATACTTTGTAGAAATTCTGTGAATTAAACTCCACAACCCAAAGGAAACAATAATAATCAAAAGGATAAGAGTAGGCTCTCTATAAAACAAAAATGATTGATTTTATTTTATTTAATATTTTTACATTTATAAGGAAAAAGTTATGGATGTTGATACCTCTTCGTTATGGATGTGACAGATGTGAAATTGCCACTTGTGTGACTTTGGTAAATCAAATCGAATAGTTTGAAAACATTGACAGATGCATTTTTGAGTATTTCTAAAGTACTGTAAAATACTTGCTTGCCCAAAAAACCCAGAAATGGTTTCTGTATTTTGCTGAAAATTTTATTTTTTTTTCCTGGCAAGGATGACATTTGCATGGAATTGCTCACATGTAATTATATTGTTATAATTATATTATATATTACATTGTGTATAAATATCAACAATCAAATTTGTGGTTGAAAAAACAATGCTGTTTTTACTTTAAACATTAAAATATGATCATTTTTTATTAATAGCTGATTAATTTTGCATCTAAACTCTTCATACACAAATAAAAATAATATCTAAGAATTGAGTTATTATTTACTATACATTATTTTATTTAATACATTTTGGGGTGGGATATTACATTATGAAATATTATGTATTTTATTCTATACTGTTCACAGTTTTTTAAACAAAATTATAACAATAAATCAATAACATTTCATAAAGTACAGTTCTCTCCATTTATTCATTCTTTTTTATTCATTTTCTTCTCATCTTAGTCCCTTTATTAAACAGGAGTTGACACAGCAGAATGAACCACCAACTTATCCAGCATATGTTCTATGCAGCGGATGCCCTTCCAGCTGCAACCCAACACTGGGTGACACTATACAAACTCTTTTACACATATACACTACGGCCAATTTAGCCTTCCCAAGCTTATTTAGTTCACCTATAGTGCATGTCTTTGGACTGTGGGGGAAACCGGTTGCATGCTCAGCAAACTCCACACAGAAAAGCCAATTGACTCAGCCGGAGATCGAATCAGCAACCTGCTTGCTGTGAGGCGATCGTGCTACACTATGCCACCATAACACCCACCCCTCTATTTTTTCATTATTATTGTTTTATATACATTATTATAACTTATTTTAATTATTATTTTTATATTCAATATTTTTGAGGTGGTTATGTACATTAAGAAATATTATAGAATTTGTTCTGTACTGTTAATAGGGTTTTTGTAACAAAAGTCTAACAATAAATCAATATAATTATATAAAATACAATACCGTCCAATGATTAGTGTCATGAAAAGGTTTGTATTTGTGACCAATGTGACTATAAAAATATGTATAATGTTACCAACTTTTTGTTTATGTAAAAAATCATTAAACATAATTAACAAACTTAAAATATTCACATTTAGTGCAGCAAAGTTAAGAAATCTTAGAGAAAGAGAGAGAACTTTATAGGGCACTTTATATGAAATACTCTTTTGAAAAAAAATCTGGAGTGTTACTGGGGGTTATTACAAGACCTTTGAACTTTTATGACTTTATTAACATTGATTACAACCTAGTTTTTTAAAAGTTACCATATATGGTTATAAGTCAGGGGACATCCTTAAAACAAATTAAAAGCACAGATAGAGTGGAAGAGTAGTTTCTGAGCAGTTTAATGGGAATTTTCTTTGCAACTTTCCTATTATGGTGTTTAAGACTCACCACACAAAGTAAGCTGAGAGGGAACTTAATGTCCTCAAATGTCAACCCATGTAATTTGCTACTGATTTAACTTAACAGAAAGCATAAAGAGTGGACAAATGATAAATCAGCTATAAACATTCAGGCAGGGCAGGAATGTGGAGGAGGGTCTCAACACTACAGATACCTCCACATTATACAGAGAGAAAGCACATTTGAATGAAGCCACTTCACGCAAAAACATCTTTGATCTGCCCAAACATCTCGTTCCCTCTTTTGAGAGACAATGGATGCTACATTTATTGGTTCCCATGATGTAGGTCAAATCAGCCCCACATTAATGCATGCTGGATGATGGGATCTTCAGAAAATTCAGGGAATATTTTTACTTCAGCTTTTGTGTTAAAGTTTTATTGATTGATTGATGTTTTATTGTCTTTGGCATGTAAACTTACATGAAACGTTACAGTTTTATTCCAATTTGCAGATGGGTTTGTTCAAACATTGTAAAAAATACAAAAAGTAATGACAACAAATGTTATTATGTCACTTTATCTTATTTATAAGCACTTTAAGAAGTATGATAACTTAATAATTTAGTCAGAACATTTTTTTCATGTCATACAAAGATAAATGTATAATTTTTACTCACTTTGAGTCAGTTGAGATAATGAAAGAAAAGTTCATTTAATTTAACTAAAAGAACATTATGGCAGCAAGCAATAATTGTATTTATATCATTTGATTCTCTTATATACATTTTAAATCTTAAAAAAGGTCAAAATGTGGTTTAAATGTTCAGTTTGTTGATTTATTGAGTGATTAAAATTGTATATTATATAAAAGTTTATTTAAATTTGCAAACAAAATGAAATACATTTTAAACTTTTATTCAACCATCTGATTCAAAAAATATATGCTAATGTTGCATATTTTTTAGAAAATGCCTCATAAAACATTTCATAAACGTAAAATAAATAAAAAGAAAAAGATTACACTTCCTCAAACCCTGATACATACTCACAGCTAAATTTAAGTTCATCTTTGTTTATGAGTAAAATGAAATAGCCAAACAGTGTTATTCTGCTGACAAATATCCCCATGCAATCTGCTCTGGTGAATGAGGAATTTAGATCAGGAGCCACTGACCTAAAAGCAGCCCCAAAGCCTAATGAAATGCACCTGAATCAGCTAATAAGCTCTACAGACACTTGTAACTCCCAGGCAAGTGTGTTGGAGCTAAACTCTGCATTGACCTTGTGCTAACAGGACTGAAGACCCCTGATTTAGATAAACAAGTAACACTGCAAAAAATGCTTGTGTCTTGTTTCTTATGCAAATATTTAAATGTTCTTACATTAAGAAGCATTTTGTAGACAAGTAAAAAATATTGTTTTTACAGAAATAATAAATCAAAGTTGAGTTTTAATAATCAAAATAAATAATCTGCCAGTGGGTGAGTAAAATAATCTACGTTTTGCTTTGAGTTTACCTGACTTACTCTCCTGGCAGATCATTTTGCTTGTTTTAGGAAAAAAACTTACTTCATTTAACTTTATTTCTGAAAAATAAATTAAAATAAACAATGCTTTATGATTTAAGAATTTTTTTATATTTTAGACCATGCAAGACAAAATCTCTCAGTAGGTAAATCACATTTTACCATCTAAATATGTTCTGCATAATAACACAAACATAAAACCAAAATGAGTTAAAATAATAGCATCTGATAATGTGGATGTTGAAATCTGCACTCCAGTTAAAGTAAAGTCTTTATATTATCTAAAAGTAATATTTCGATTGAACAAAACTACAATTTCAACAATAATGCTGCTCTTTTCTGAACTCCAAACAAACTGATTGTCTTGACTTTTTTATTCAGAATGACATAACTTGTCCAATTATTCCATTTACACAGTAAAAACATAGTTGAGGTCAGAATTATTAGCCTCCTTTTGAATTTTATCTTCTTTTTAAAATATTTCCAGAATGATGTTTAACAGAGCAAGGAAATTTTCACAGTATGTCAGATAATATTTTTTCTTCTGGAGAAAGTTTTATTTGTTATTTTTCGGCTAGAATAAAAGCAGTTTTGATTTTTTTAAACATCATTTTAAGGACAAAATTATTAGCCCCTTTAAGCTGGATTTTTTTCAATAGTCTACAGAACAAACCATCGGTACAATAAGTTGCCTAATTACCCTATCCTGCCTAGTTAACCTAATGAACCTAGTTAAGCCTTTAAATGTCACTTTAAGCTGTATAGCAGTGTCTTGAAAAATATATAGTAAAATAGTATTTACTATCATCATGGCAAAGATATTATAAATTAGTTATAAGAAATGAGTTATTAAAACCATTAGGTTTGGAAATGTGTTGAAAAAATCTCTCCGTTAGAGAAATTGGGGGAAAATATTAAAAAAGGGCACTAATGATTCAGGGGGGCTTATAATTCTGACTTCAACTGAATGTATTTTTAGTTGAATCAAATAAACTTTCTAGCCATCTCAACATTAATCAGTCAAAATGACTAAAAATTAAAGTTAAACTTTGTATAACTACACTGTAAAAATCCTGGTTGTCTCACATTTTAAGATGAATTAAATTAACCTTATGAGTCCATTGAACTTATATTATGTTAAACTGACTTTAGCTTCTGTAACTTACAAAATTTAGTTAGAACTTGATTAACTTTGTTTAATAAATTACAATGACCTAAAAACATATGCTGTCAGGACTAATTGGTCACATAATTGGTTTACAGTGTACAAATGTTTTGTTAAAACCTGATTAACTTAATAAATTAACGTAGTACAAAAGCATTTGTTATGTCATACTATATGAATATCTGGGCTTTTTTATTGCAATAAATCAGCTGCGAAAGTACAGAAATATATATCTATAACATTTTTTACCTATTGGCCTGGGGTGTTTTGCCTTATGCTGTACAATGCAATAAAGCAGCACATGTGTGCTGCCCATAAGTGAGTTTGGAAAGAGAACGATGGGAACATGAAAGGAGCCAAGACCCCCTTGAGGCAACAGTGATTGACCCTTCACCCCCACCGGCCCAACATACAACCACAGACATCCTCTGAGACCAAAACTACAGGCCGAACACTATCTTATCTCTCGGCAGACAACAGTAGCAGAAGATAGATTTCAAGAAAGAGTCAGAACACATTAAACGGCAGCCTAAACATGACCTCGGCCCTTCAGGATCATTCCTAAACACATCAGTCAGACTGGGCTTCTCTGTCAAAACGAAAATGAATAAATAAATAAATAAATAAAACTGAGGTTGTGAGTTCAAGAGGAAACCGCGATTCTAACCCCCACCGATAGAACTAAAGTGATGTGGCTAAATGGAAAGTCAAATTACTGAGCTGCAAATTCTACCCCCTCGCTCTCCACAGACCAAAAGAAAATGATGATAATTACAATGCTCCGGATATCCCGGGCCCCAGCCGTACTTAAGCTGTGGTTGCCTATCAAGCGAAAGACATGAGGCAGGAGGGGGGCTGGGCTGGTCTGCTGCTATCCCACAGACTGTTTGAACACACCAGGAGACATGGATCTGGATCAGGCCAGTAGCATTTACTGCATTAAATAGCACTGACCTGAAATAAGAGTGCAAAATCGTCTAGGTAAAAACACTTGAGTTTTTTTTTTTTGGCAGAAGTCTCTAACAGTCAAAACAAAGACTGTTCTGATTAGCTGTTTTAATTTAGAGCATTTTATTTCGGTGGTTGGTTTAACGCGAATAAATCACAGGGCCATTTGGCTCTGCTTTGACAACTGCAGGGCGTTTTGCTCGAAGTATAATTTATCATTTGGAAAACAGGATGAGATACATCTTTCCATTTGGATGGTAAAAAGTCTACATTTTATACCGGCTTGCAGCATGCTTTAACACTGGAAAAGTGTAAAAAAAAAAGTCATGCACACACACAAACACGCATCCTGAGAGGCATGGGGTGTTACTTTCCTGTCTTTGACTTCTTTGTTATTGTGCCAGGCAATATCCAGAATTTATTAAACACTAGTGAAATGGAATGGAAGATTTCATCCAGGTAAGTACTGAAAAACATTCTGCATAATATGACAGATGTTTGAAAACAAAAGCTGAATCGGGTTTTTTTGTTTAGTCATAAACATTATTCAATGTATTTTTTGTGTAATAAAAGCCACCACTCTGTTTTGATATAAGATGTGTTTTATTGTATATTTATAACAGATTTTTACACAATGAATTAAATAAAATATGTGAATCGGGTAATCTTCTTTTATATCCTAATTGTAACACCTTTCACTGTATTTCTGTTATGCTAGCTGACAAAAAACTTTCTGTTAAGCTTTATCTCTTTTGATTTCCAAATGTATTTGTTTCAAACTTAAATTAATCTTTTTATTTATATTTTCTATACGTTTTATTTGCAATGTTTGAAATAAAAGTAAACAAAGAGGCTATTAGATAAGCACAATAAACACTAGTGTTACAAATAGCTGATTGTGTTTGTTGTAAAAACAACCCTTTTTGCTTTCACATAATTGACAGTTTATGAATTATTTCTTAAACATGTTAGCAGAAAATGGGCTAAACAATAGGCCAACCAAAACTTTGAGATTGCTAACTTAACAAACAAAACAAACAAACAAACGAACACCCAGGGTAAATCAAATAAATACAAGTTAAAGACATAAAAAGGTCCAACATTCCCTAGACTCATAATTAACTGGAAAGATCCTGTAGCGTCGGAAAATATGAACCGTGGAAACTTTTTAAAGCCACCAGTACTCAAATAAAACAGTTAAAACAACAACAACAGCGTATTGTTAGGAGATTAAACAGCATTGATAAAATACTGCACAGCGGAAAACCTCACCTTTACGGCCAAAACATAGAAGCAGAGTTGAAGTGCTTCAGTTGCTCCTTTCATCTTCAACACTTTTCCTCAGTGTTTAGAAAGTAACAAAAGAGTCTCTTGTGCTCAAAACGCTCTAATCTTCATAACCTCAAACACACACAGGACATCTACCAAACATCAGTGTGTTTTGGACTCTCTTCCATAGATTTTAACAGTCTTTTTCTCACATACGTTTTTTTCTTTTTCTTCTTTCTTTCTTTAAGGCTTGCAGCAGTAAAAGCGGATAATCCTCGTGTGAAGTTTAAAACATCAGTACATCATCTCTCTTGTGTCTCCACTGTCAGTCTTCCAGTTAGTGCCGATCCTTGACACCACTGCAGCGGTCTCAGCCAGCCGGCGACTAAATAGTTTCTACTGAAGGGGATGGACATATAAACCCCGATACACGCGAGCGCGCGCTCAAACTCGCACAGCAGCTCGGTGATTGGACAGAGGGGCGCGGGATGGAGAAAACTGTTAGATCAAACGTTTTTTAGGCTATATATTGCATGTCTATAAAGCCTAATCATTGATCAACATTACACAAATAGTTTGACTATTTGTTTATTTGCATTTTGTATGAATTAGTTTTGTTAATAAATTGTTATTTTTTTCTGCACTGTAAAAAACTTGCAGAACTTTTTTTTTGTGAAATCAAATGAGCTTTTCTAGTCATCTCAACATCAATCAAACGGTACAAATTAAGTTAAACTTTGTATAACTTAAAAAAATGTTTAAATCAGAGTTAAAATAGGTTAAAGCAACATAAAAATATGTGTTGTCTTGATTTACAGTGTGAAAAAATAGACCATTAATGATAGCCTAAATTTTTGAAATTCTGAATTGCAAACGCTGGCACGGATTAAAAAACCCACGTCTGAGCTTTAGACAGCTGAGGCTGTGATAAAAAGAGATTCAAGCTAAACTTTTCAGATCTGAGGGGGTTTGAGAGAACGTCGTAAAACTCAGCATGAGGTCCAGAGACTTCAGAGAGCAACAAATGGAGACTTCCCTCACATTCAATGATCACGGCGCTTCAAAGAATCACCGAGAAGAAACAAGGGCAAGAGTAAAGAAGAGACGGTGTTCAGTCAATTCGTCCACGATTCGTTTCGCTTTTTTCTCTTTCTTAATGTCATTAGGTCTTAATGACTGAAACTCTGACGCAACTTAACTAGAATAGCCTCAAGAGAACTTCTTCACTGAAGATGTCCTTGTTCTTTCTTTATCTTTGCTAACAGTGTGCTGTAGGTTTTTGTACGATTTTTATATTGACCTTAAAACTACCATTTCAGTTCCCCCTTGTTAGGCACCCTGCAGGTATAAACCAGTCTATTAAAAACTGATATTTGAAGTCAGAATTACTTGCCCCCCTGAATTATTAGCTACCGTTTTTTCCCTCCAATTTCTGTTTAACAAAGAGTTTTTTTAATCACATTTCTAAATGTAAAAGTTGTAATAACTCATTTCTAAAAACGGATTCATTTTATCTTTGCCGTGATGACAGTAAATAATGTTTTACTATATATTTTTAAGACACTTCTATACAGCTTAAAGTGACATTTAAAGGCTTAACTAATTAAGTTAGCTAGGGCAATTAGGCAAGTTATAGTAGGATATAACGATGGTTTGCTCTGTAGCAATCAAAAATATAGCTTAAAGGGGCTAATCATTTTAACCTTAAAATGGTTTTGAAAATTGTAAAAACTGCTCTTATTCCAGCTGAAATAAAATAAATAAAACTTTCTCCAGAAGAAAAATAAAATCAGACATATAGTGTGAAAATTCTCTTGCTTTGTTAAACATCAATTGGGGAATTTAAAAAAAAATGTAAAGGGGCAAATAATTCTGACTTCAACTGTGTATATATATATATATATATATATACATACATATATATATATATATATATATATACCTTTGTAGTAGTTATTGTAGTAACATCGTTTTTAGCACTGGGTAAAAATAAACATTGAAAATGAAAAACAAGGGACTTAGAATGACCCACAGTTAACTTTAAGTGTGAAAAGGTATTTAGTGACAAATTCATTTAGGCTAAATTTACAAGTACTGGTTTGTTAATTTATGTATCTCTATTCTAAATATGGAATCAAATGCAAATTAAATTTTCTGTAAAAGCAATTACAAGATGTTTTTTTTTTTTGGTTTTCATATAGAGGCAAGTTTAAGCTTAATAATGAATAAATAAGCATTTATAAAAGTTTTCAGAAGGTATACAAGGCTACTTGCTACAAGATTTGCACATCCAGTTGAAATTGTACCATGCCTTGAGGCCACAGGAGAACGAGAGTCATGAAAGACAGTGAACTAATGCAACTGACAGTCTAACTGTATATCTTACTTGTCAACAATGTACTTTGACACAAAAATTTGTGTGTACTTTGGTGTGAACACTAATTGCTATTATTCTTGGCTTGAAAGTCCCAAACAAACAAAACAATTGTGTTGTGGTTAAGGGTCGTTCACCTATCATTTTGTTAATAGCTCACATTCAATGCAATCAAAATCTGAGCTGTTCATCAACATGAGCATTCAAAGGTGGATTAAGTAAATTTTGCTAAACAATGTTGATATTTGAAAGCCCCCAAACAAACATAACCCAAATAGAACTTTCGATATCTCCACCAAACTAACTAGAGATGCCCTTTACTGCTGATTGGACCACATTGTGTTTTGAGATTCGGTCGAACACTGTGGACAAAAGTGGTTTCCTCAATATATACAGTGAATAATTGTAAAGTGACTTTCACAGAAGTTTTTGTGGGATTTTTTTTCTTAGTTATGCACATTAGAGGCTTATGTTACATCTAATGTTGATAAAGAACTTTTCTTTTTGTTGTTGTTCAACTTTAGTTTTATGAGTGTTACCATGATAGTGTTTACTAGTTGTATAAATGACACTACTCTATTCTACTCTACTCTATTTATAAGTATGTTTCTCTGCTTGTGTATAAACTGTTAAGTGATGAAAACTGGTTCACCACATGACTTTCTAATCATCAAATGATTTTGGTTGGGTTTTTGTCTTTCTAACAAAGGTATAATGTGTAGATGTTAGTAATGTTTAAGACATTGATTTCATTCATTCATCCATTTTCTTTTTCAGTCCCTTTATTAATCTGGGTTCTCATTCACACACATACACTACGGGCAATTTAGCTTACCCAATTCACCTGTACCACATGTCTTTGGACTTATGAGGGAAACCAGAGCACTCAAAGGAAACCCACACGAACATGGGGAGAACATGTAAACTCCAAAGACATGCCAACTGACCCAGCCGAGGCTCGAACCAGAGACCTTTTTGCTGTAAGGCGACAGTACCATCTACTGCACCACCACATTACCAGATATTGAATTGTTAACACTATAAATTAAGTATGGTATTTTACCATAAAAGTTTGAAATATCGTTTACAGTCTATTCCATTTTTAAAGGTGAACTTCTGCCTGCTTTCTTTTAGCCATAAATTTAATTGATTTCTCATTCTTATAACTGAATACCTGGTGACCAAAACCCATTTTTCAGAATAAATCACTTTTTGTTGAACATTAAAGTATTTAGAGATGTTAGACACAATTAGTTAAATCTCATGCATTCTTTATGCAAACATTTCTATCAAACTAATTGTGAAACATATGACCAAGTTCTGTATTAATTGTTAAAAATATAAGTCAGAATCTGCCGAGATGATACAGACGCACTGGAGTGCTGTCAAGTCTGTATCTGTCAAACCAGAGGTTTTTTCCATTGCCTTCCATGTGGACAAAGTCCTCAGGATGGACTCAGAATGAAGATGTCATTCTGATGCTGAATCTGTCTCTCACTGACTGAATTTTTGGAACCTACTGTTAACATGCTTTTCAGTGACCTTTTGCAATGGAGCAGATGGACTACTGTATTCCTAAAGAATGAAATGTGTCGCTTAGATGTTATTTGTGTTTAAAGGACATCTATAGATGTCCAAACAGATGTCCCGTCTAAAACAAGGCAAAATTTGGGCTAACAGTTGTTGGAATATCAAGCCAATTCCAAGCGTTTTCAATAAGAAAAGGTATGGAGAGCGTTTTAATCAATGCCAAAATTATTAGTAATTTATTAGATCCAATTAAATAATTTGATGACAGACCTCTGGGTTACATTATCCCAATGCAATCAATACAAGAATTACATTTAAGAGCTTCGCAACTAACATACATTTCCCTGACTCCAGCATACATACACAACTAATATTAACAGGTGGAGTTTTGGTGTAATGTTACTTATCAGTCATTCTGCAGTCCTTTGAGTGATGCTCCCAGACATACTTCCTCTTTTCTGCAACTCTTCTTTGCATAACAGAACTGAAAAGTTAAAGTGCATCTTTAATATATTTAACAACTTCTACAAGAATCATGCTTCTTCTGGCATGTCTAGACTTCGTATTACACAGCAGTCTGGTACAAACTGTGCTCTATATTTATTCTTATTCTGCTATTTCTCTCTTGTCAGTAGTCAGCAGTTCCTTCTAAAAAGTATGCAACACAGTAAAAAAGAAGAAGTATGCCTGGTCAATATGTGCTATCATACAAAAGAAAAAGATTGATTAATCTGTTGTTAGTCTAAACATTCAGTCATTTTCTTTTCGGCTTAGTCGCTTTTTTAAATACAGGCTCGCCACAGCAGATTAAACCGCCAGATTAAACCGCCAACTTACCGCCAACTTAAGTTTTTAGCAGGACAGTATTTATATAAGTTAAAGCAGTAGATTGTGTGCCTGTAGTTTTTATGGTGTAAAATAGTTTTATAACTGACCCCTAAGACATCCCTTGTACCCTAAATTTGTACAGCCTTATGAAAATAGAAAACGCTTCATTTTTATTCATTTTTAACTCATCATGATAAGAATGTTGGAGTAATATTAGAAAAAATGACCAAACATTAAGATAAAGGGGTAATATTTTTTTCTTCTGGTGCTTAAATGGTGCATGGGTCGTTTTTGATTAGCAAGTAAACAGGAGGCTCAAAATAGTTTAAATTCATTGTTTATGTGTTAAGATTTTTATGTATCCATCAACATGTTAAAAAGATTCTGTACAATTTACAGTAACTGGCAATTTTGGTTACCAGTAATACTAAATTTACAAGCACACTGTAAATTAACAGTTACAATTTACCTCAAATTTTACACTAACTGCCAATTTTGGTTACTAGTATGACTGTAAATTTACAAGCACATTGTAAACTATTAATTACAATTCACTGTACTATTTACAGTTACTCACTGGCAATTTATATTGATAATAATTAAAAATTCACTGTAAAATTTACAGTGCGCTTGTACATTTAATCTTACTAGCAACCTAAATTGCTAGTAAGTTACTGTAAATTTTACAGTATTTTTTACATCATAGAAAAGTAGTTTACATGTTTAATAGTTTAATTAGTAATCAGTA